GCTTTCTTTATCGCCTTTTCTGCAGGGCGTAAAAAGCCTAGATTCCAGTGTTCAGGTATTCCTTCTCCACGCCATATCCTTTTATTAGGTTGCATATCTCTTGTTGAGTATTACCTTGTGCAAAACCCATGTTCATTTCGGATACCATCTTCACCAGTAGCTTTTTTCCTCTTTAGTTTTCTTATGTTTTTGTTATTTCCTCAGCTGTTAAATCTTCTTCCTTTTCTTCATCTTTGTCTTCTTCTCTATTCCAATTGCCTGCCATATTTGCTTGTTCTCCATTCAACACGAGTCTAAAATGTTCACACCACTTTTCCATGGGGATGTCTTTGCTTATTTCTAAGAAGACTTCCTATATTTATTGATGTTCTGCCACACCTTCTTTTCAGTATTTGCGTTTTTTATTTCTGCAATCTCGTTTTCTTTCATTTTACTTTCTTTTTTAAAGCATAGTTTTCGGAACTCCTTTCTTTCTTTCAAGTAATATTCTTTGGTTGCTTGGCCGTGCCTCTCAACTTGTTGCTACAGAGTATAATAGTTTTGTTCACCTAACGGTTGTTTGTATACACTAAAACTAATCGAGTTAGATATAAGGTTATATATATATAAATTATCAGGATGAAGAGACGAGTCCGGGTGACGTCCGTCCGTCCGTTCGTCCGTCTGTGCAAGCTGTAACTTGAGTAAACATTGAGATACCTTTATGAAACTTGGTACACATGTTTCTTGGTACCGTAAGACTGTTGGTATTGCAGATGGGCGTAATCGGACTACTGCCACGCCCGCAAAACGCCATTAATCAAAAACAAATAAATTGCCATAACTAAGCTCCACAACAAGATGCAAGACTCTTATTTGGTATACAGGATCACATTAGGGAGGGGCATCTTTAGTTAAAATTTTTTTTAAAGGTGGCGTGGTCCCGCCCCAATAAGTTTAATGTGCATATATCCTATACCAATGAAGCTATAATAACAAAATTCACTGGGAACAAATGCTTTTAGCATCTCTATCGGCGGTGTGAAAATGGGTGAAATCGGGCGAAAACCCGACACTCCCATATAACGGTACTGTTAAAAACTTCTAAAGGCGCGATAAATCAAGAACTAAACAAGTCAGAGACATTAAATTTTATCTCTGGGATGGTATAAGATGGTTTAATGAGAACCACGTTTAAATTTAGATAGCGGTGCCACGCCCACTTTTAGGGGAAAATCCATATTTTGGAATCTGCTCAACCGATTTCAACCAAATTCGGTACATAATATTCTTTTCATATTTCTATGGTATAGTACGAAAATGGGCGAAATCAGACTACAACCACGCCTATTTCCCATATAACACCATTTTCAATTCCATTTGATATGCAAATCACGTAACAATGATTATATCGGCGTAAAACTTTGCGTGAATAATAGGTTTAAAGTATGCCACCTTGTGACCAAAAATTATCTAAATTGAACCAAAACTGTTCAAGCCCCTAGGTACTGAAAATGTGGACCCAGTGCCAATAGTTGACTTTTATCGAAAATATCGGTCAACATAGACAAGGCGGCAAGACCACAAGAAATCTAAAACGAGTAACCATTTGACTGTGCGAGAGTATAAAATGTTTGTTTACATCCGAACTTATCCCTTCTACTAGTTTCTGCTGAATTTCATCTACCTTCCTTTTCCATGTTTTCTTACACATATTTTTGTTCATGACTTCTTTCAATTCTTCCTTGTTTCTATTGATGGTAGCATCTTCACTGAATACATTATTTATAGTAGCAAGTGGAATTTCGTTTTGCTGTCATCATCCCACACTATTTTTCTCCAGATACTGTTGATTCTTTCTTTCTATTGTTGGCTAGTTTACTTTTCAATTTACATATTATGGGCATGTGGTCTGATTAAACTCTATCCAACACTCTAAATTCTTTTACCTGTACTAGTCTTCAACACCTATTATTACGTAGTCAATCACAGACTGTCCTGATTCAGCAAGAAATGTGAAACCAGAGAACTTAAAACAACTTTTAAGTTCTCTGGTGAAACTTCGTCTTCATCACCATTTGTGTTTTCATTCAGTACTCACCACTCTTCTTCTTCTATAATACTAATTAGTAGCTCACCTTCTCTCGTTGCACTTGTTGTCTCTGATTGTCTTTGTATACCCTTTTCTTCGGGTCCTACGTATAAGCTACTTTTGTGACCTGTTCTTGCATTGAGATCACCCCTACGATGATTTCACTTGTTCCATTCCTCACATATTTCTTTTAGCATTTTTAATTTTACCTTGATTGTAGACTGTCCATATTCCACACTTATCATCCACTATTTTGACAACATTTTTCACTGCCACATCAAACTCAAATTATTATCTTAACTCCAATGTCTTTTCTTACCCCAGTTATTAGCCACCACTAGCTCTCCTTTCTTTTTGCTCTTTTCGCTGCTTTACCCTTCCACTCGTACTCTTTGGGAGTCTTTTCGCAAATTTTCCCATCCCTTACTTTCTACCCATGTTTCAGTTAAACCGATACATCATATTGTCTAAGAAAATTCCAAAAATCCATATTTTTTTCCTAAGCCTGCAACATTCCAAAACACACTTTGAACTCATCGCTTCCTGTTTCATTGGCCCTGTCTATTAAAAATCCCTCTTTTCTATATTACTTTTGTTTTGTTGCCACGAAAGCCTTTTCCATCGACGCACATTTTCAAAATCCTAGCGCTTAAAAACCTAACCTCTTGTGTGTTAAGTTTCTTTCTTTTCACTTAAAGCCTTAGATTTTATGCTTTGTTGGTTTTCTTGAATTATTAGAGAAAGCCCCACTAATTTCAGATTATGTAGACTGTTCAATTTTAATTTATAAGGACACTTTTACTACTCAATTACACGGGTCAACACGAAATTTGACTCGACTTGAAAGTGTAAAATTTCTTTAGTTTAGGTCACAAATACACAAAAAAATATAATATATGACTTCAAAACTTTGCTTTTGTGGTCAGGAAACTAATTAAACGAATTTTCTCAAAATCTGTGGTTTAAATGTTATTTATCACTTGAGTGCCATCTGGAGGCACTCTCTGAATATAAAAACTCCACTAAATCTCGCGGTATTTTTGAATGTATTACAACTAATTAAAATTTTAAAAAAATTTAATAAAGTGTATTATTATTAAAATATCGCAAACAAACTTTATACCAAAAAAAGTATATCCTTTTCGTTTTTGTATCTAAATAATCGAAAAATCATAGTATAAAGTTTAGGACTAGCAACAATTATTTTTTGTTGACCCGTGTTATCTTTAATTTTTCTTCTTTTACGTTACGAAAACGCGTTATGACTAGTGATGACACGTGGTTTTATGAATATGACGTCGAAACAAGCCAACAGCAAATGAGCCGAAACCAAAATAACCAAAATTTGCTGAAGGCACTTAAGGTCATCCCAGCCGAGGCTTATACAAGTGTATGGAAAATTGTATTAAGCGTTTTCATGCTTGTTGGCTTAGGAGTCTATTTTGAGGCGATAATAAAAGTGTGTACGTGAAAATGTCGTTTTTTGTCAGTCTAGATCAAATCGGATGCATTTCCTTTTGTAATTACAATATTTAGTTAATAATATATCCTATCAATATTCATTACTTCGAGTTAAAAGTTAAGCCGATGATTTCGTTACACAAAGTGTCTGTAACGCTATATGTGTAGAGTATTTTTGTATAGGAATAATTATGTAACGCAAATAAGCCTTGATTTTTCTACGTAATATCTAGTTTTCGTATAATAGAGTTTCCATTATAAATATATGGATGGTTTTCTTTATTATTTTGTTAAGTTGTATATCTAATATATTTTACTAGTTTGTTTGCTATTCGTGGCAAATAAATCACTAAATCTAACTTACTAACTCTACTTTGTTTTGTACATAAATATTATACCTTCTGCTCAACGCAAAACGAGACTTTATCCATAACTCGACAAGGACATGACATATGGCCATACTTATTTTTGCTTAGGTTGGCAGGACTGTTATATGTTTACATGTCAAATTTGAGCGCGATCTGTCATATAGTTTTTTAAGGCACTATAAACAAGTCAACCTCGAGTGTTTTTTCGAATTTTACTATGGAAATTAACGTTGAGCAAAAAGTGTTAGTTTGAAATTTTGTTATTCCAATGGAATAAGTGCGACGGACGCAATGAAAATGTTGCAGAAGGCATATGGGAGTCTTGCCTATCACGTGCAGTATTTTGATTGGTATAAGTCGTTCAAGGACGGCCGTACATCGCTGGAGAACTTGCCCCATGATCGTCGTCCAGCAACGTCAATAAACAAAGAAAACGTCGAAAAAGTAAAGAAAATTGTGTTGGAAAATCGTCGTGTGACTGAAGGAGATAGCTAGTGAGCTCAACATATCAAATGGATCCGCTCATAGCATTATTCAGATGTTTTGGGCATAAGACGTGTGTCTGCTCGACTTGTTCCAAAATCCAGCTCATACGTCTCGTCTTGTACGCGATTATTTGACCAAAAACAACGTAAATATTGTTCCGCAAGCACCGTATTCACCCGACATGGCACCGTGTGACTTTTTCTTTCCCTAAACTCAAATTGCCGCTTCGTGGAAAGCATTTTCAGTCGATTGAAGTCATAAAAGAAATTCGAAAGAGGAACTGAAAGCCATACCTAAAGCGGCCTACCAGAAGTGTTAGGAAGATTGGAAAAAAAGGTGGCATATGTGTATCGCCTCTAATGGTGACTATTTTGAAGGGGATAAAATAAATATTGAAGAATAATTAACCGTTTTTGTTGTTTGAGCCAGTCTCGTTTATATTTGAGCAGAAGGTATATGACATTTGAATTTTGTGATACAATTTATTAAATTTTGCAACTTTTTTTATGTAATTTTTATTTAACCTATCAAACTATATTGTACTCAAATATCTCATAATAATTTAATTAACATATGTTCTAATTTAATTATTTCCTTTTACAAAAATGAATCAGCGAAATGGAACTAGTGTGGACTCTCTACAAATAAATACGGGTGAAGACGATATTCGAAAATTTAGTATAATTACGCAGTTCAATGGTCAACCTCTTCTAGACTTCTGGGCAGATCAGAAATGCAATCGTGTTGATGGTTCAGATGCTTCAATGTTCCCGCCTCATATTTTAAATACCAGAGAAGATTTGCAAGTTTTTTTGCAAGTACTTTGCAGGAAAATTCCTCTTTCTTTTGAAAAAGAAGTTACAATTCTTAATAATATTGACGCTTTTCGTTATCGAACGCCATTGAATGTTTTCTCTAGCCCAGAAAATAATCCAGAAAATGCATGCTACTGTCACAATACTCAAGTGTGCTTGCCCAGTGGAGTCATAAATGCCACTAAATGCTATAATGGAGCTCCTATATTTCCATCCTTTCCACATTTTTTCTCCGGAGATCCAAACATTTACAAAGATTTTGATGGAATCAGACCTTCAAGGGAATTACATCAGACTTATGCTGATATCCACCCAAGATTTGCATTTCCTATAAGTGGTGCTTCGCGAATACAAATCAATATTGCAGTCCATAAAGGTTCAATTTTGAAAAGTAAGTACAGTAACAATAAAATATATCAAAAAAAATTACACAATTCAAATTTGAGGATACAGCTTAATGGTATACATTCGCATTTTGCCAGAATCAAGAGCTTGGTAATATTTGTAAAATATTTATATAAATAAATAAAATAATCTACACAACTCAAATTTGCTGATACAGCTTAAAATTATACATTCGCAGAATCAAGGGCTTGGAAATATTTGCAGAGAGAAAGTAAGTAAGCTCATTTCAAAATAGTAAATTGCTTACAATGATATCTGCATCTTTAATACCAACCTCCTCAGAATGCCAAGGAAGTGAAGTAGTTTTATTAAGAAATCTCATATCTCATTCTGATCATTTGGATTGTATGTATATATAACTTTTTTTATTTTGATATGTATATACATACATATATATATATATGAGGAAATTCAATCTGAAGTTTTGAAAATCAATAAAAGAAATGTTTGCATTTTCATACTAGAACTAGTCTAATATACGTACCGCTGACAATTGTGTATGTTATCGAATACTATCAAACCTTAGTAGGTTACATCTTCAAAATCAGGAAACTGCTCAAGAGAAGTTGTTTGCATTATTTTTATAATTTTAGAGTTTGTACACATTTAATACATTTAACGAAAATATGTGTACTTTATTTTTTTTTATTCACGAAAGTTTCGATTTGGAGCTGACTAATTTGCCAAAATTAGTATTTAAAACGTGTAAGGAAGTGCCAAGTTCGTTAAGTGTAACCGAACATTTTATACTCTCGCAATTTGCAAGGATCAAAGCCAGGGAAACACAATTGGATGTCGGTAAAACTTGATATTAAAACAGTAAGGAAGGACTAAGTTCGGGGGAACCGAGCATTTTTTACTCTTGCAACTTGCAAGGATTAAAGCTAGTATCTTATAGGTGTTGGAAAAACTTTGTATTAAGTTGCGAAAGAATGCAACATTCATTATTCGACGAAATCGTGAATGAATAATAATCAAATTTGGTGACTTATTAACTTATATTGAAGGTCATGTACTCACTTAGTTTTATTAATATATAATATTTTAATCGCGTTAACCGAAGAGCCTAAATTAAATATTTATTATTTGTCACCGAGGTATCACCATTTATAAAAAAAAGCATGCTGCATAAAAAAAGTTAAGTCCGATCGGGGAGGAATATAGGTTAAAGTTAAATAAATAAAGCAAATATTAACACAAACTCTATACATTGAAATTAGTTGGTACAGGGAACGAGGACATATTCAAAAGGTATAGCAGGATGAAGGGCAAGTAGAACACCTCCCCCTCTGTTCAGTCTATGAAATTTGCTGTTTAAATTTTCATTATTAAAAATGTGTGTAACCATTTTTCTGTGAAACCACTTATATAATATAAAAATTCCAATTACTACTGTTTTTCATTTCCGTGGTTGCTTTCGGTATTTTAGAAATTTTTAACTCAATAGGATTTCTGAGATTAAAAATCCTTACATAATACAATACATATTGATCCATATACCTATACGGTATAAAGATAACCGAAAGTTTGAAATTCTTATATAAGTTATAGTATTGACCAGTTTTGGTATTACGACTTATCTTCTGGTAATAGAAATCACTGCTGTCTGAGTTTCATTAATGGTAAGATATCTTAGCAAAATTAATACTAGACTGTACTTAGATGCAAAAAAAATGTAAAATCGATACACAAATTAACCCAGCGTTCATATAATATTCATAATGTGTGTGAGTTATATTCAAAAATTGAAAAATGTTTTCGAGTATACTTAAATAATAGCAAAAATTAACACAATCCGCCCATACCTTCATTTGACGTTAAACCGTTTATGTTCCTTTTTAAGTGTACGAATTTAAGTGAACAATTCTTTTAAAAAATAATATAGTTTAGTGCTGAATATAAATTAAGCTGGTCGAGCCTTTGTTCTTAACCTCATATCTCTAATATAATGATTCCCGATTCTCTGGTTCACTTTTTCCTTATATACCCTATATATTAAATTTAGCCTCTTTGGTTGAGTTTATACCACGTGCAGCGTGTTGATTCCGAGAGAGTGTCTAAATTGAGATGTCGTAGTTAAACTTGGTACACGGGTTTCTTAGAAAAAAGGAAGAACGATTTTGTAGATGGGCGTAATCGGACCACTACCACGTCCATTAAACGAAAATTTATAAAGCGCCATAACTAAGCACTAAATTAAGATACAAAACTGTAATTTGGCACAGGGGATCACAGCAACAAGTGACACCCGTGGTCTAGAAAATGTGCGTGACCTCGCCATCTAAGAGGCATAATGCACATATCTCCTAAAACCCGTAAGATGGAACCACAAAACTCACTCAGGACAAATCCATCAAGCATTCATCAAAAATATCGGTCAATCTGTGAAATACGTTACTGAAATTCGGAGCTAATCCTTTCCTGATAACAGTATGCCTGTATGTCAAAAATGGGTTGCATCGGATGATCGGCTTTTTCGTAGCCATCCTATACCTAAACAAAAAGTTTCGCACTTTCGGTTTACTGTATACCACATATATCAATCAATATGTATGTGGATTACATTACTAAAAACGACAAAGCGCGTTTTACTAATAACAATGTATCTCTGTGCCTAAAATGGATAAAATCGGGTGAAAACTTGCCCGAGACTCCATGTAACAAATATCCCGATTTTCGAATATCCGGCTAACTTTACTCCATACAAGTTTATATTGGTGATGGTATGTGCACTTTAATGAAACTCTGGGAGCATATTATTAGTATGTATGTATAGTATGTGATATTGCCATAAATTGGTAAAACCGGGTCAATACATCCTTTAGACCCCATATACATACCTAATAACAATTTTCAAGCTTCTGGTTGGAACTACTACATATAATGATTGTAAATTTTAATATACCGTATGCCTCGTGGAAAGCTTTCATTGATCCTTAATCAGTTTTTCGAAAAAGTGCCCGATTTGGATCTTAACCAAGTTAATTTGATACCGAACAAATTTGCTAAATTCTAGATTTTGTATACGTTGATACCACCTAAAGTTTTCCGTTATTCAGAGTAATCCTCTTGTTCTACCATAGGACTCGTATCATCCTGCTTTGGAAATAACTATCAAAACTACTCGATAATAGTCATCAAGCTTCTATCTTCTCTATACGGTTTAAATTTGCAAAAGCTGACTTTAAAAAATTGAATAGCGAACTTTCTCTTCGTGTCGAGTGGAATACGAAAAACGTCCAATTACAACGCGATTACCCGTTCATGCGGGTGGTTACAATAAATTGATTATTCGGTGGGAAATGGCCTCTTTTCGGCAGTTAAAATGTTTTTATTGGAAACCAATTTATTAAAATTAAGACCACTGAGAAATCGTAAAAAGAAATATAAAACAAAAACAAATAAGGAAGGGCTAAGTTCGGATGTAACCAAACATTTTACACTCTCGCAAAGTCAAATGGTATACTCGTTTTAGATTTCTTTGTGGATCTTGCCGCCTTGTTCTATGTTGACCGATATTTTCGGTAAAAAGTCAACTATTGGCACTGGGGTCCACATATTCAGTACCTAGGGGCTTGAACAGTTTAGATGATTTTCGGTCACAAGGGGGCATACTTTAAACGGATTATTCACGCAAAGTTATACCCCGATTCAATCATTGTTACTTGATTTGCATATTGGAAAGTGAAAGAATCAAATGGAATTGAAAATGGTGTTATATGGGAAATAGGCGTGGTTGTAGTCCGATTTCGCCCATTTTCGTACTATACCATAGAAATATGAAAAGAATATTATGTACCGAATTTGGTTGAAATCGGTTGAGCAGATTCCAAAATATGGGTTTTCCCCTAAAAGTGGGCGTGGCAAAGCTATCTAATTTTGAACGTGGTTCCTATTAAATCATCTTATACCATCCCAGAGATAAAATTTAATGTCTCTGACTTGTTTAGTTCTTGATTTATCGCGCCTTTAGAAGTTTTTAACAGTACCGTTATATGGGGAGTGTCGGGGTTGTCGCCCGATCATCATCCATATCACCCATTTTCACACCGTCGATAGAGATGCTAAAAACATTTGTTCCCAGTGAATTTTGTTATTATAGCTTCAGTGGTATAGGATATATGCACATTAAACTTATTGGGGGCGGGACCACGCCACCTTTAAAAAAAATTTTAACTAAAGATGCCCCTCCCTAATGTGATCCTGTATACCAAATAAGAGTCTTGCATCTTGTTGTGGAGCTTAGTTATGGCAATTTATTTGTTTTTGATTAATGGCGTTTTGCTGGCGTGACAGTAGTCCGATTATGCCCATCTGCAATACCAACAGTCTTACGGTACCAAGAAACATGTGTACCAAGTTTCATAAAGGTATCTCAATGTTTACTCAAGTTACAGCTTGCACAGACGGACGAACGGACGGACGGACGTCACCCGGACTCGTCTCTTCATCCTGATAATTTATATATATATAACCCTATATCTAACTCGATTAGTTTTAGGTGATACAAACAACCGTTAGGTGAACAAAACTAGTATACTCTGTAGCAACAAGTTGCGAGAGTATAAAAAACATGTATGGTATATGTATATGTATATACTTGTAACTATAGAGGTATAAAATATATAACCTATGTCTCTCACTAAAAAATTATTAAAATTGATCCAGTAGTTTTGATTTATTCATTACTGCCCGTGGCCCGCAACGTTAAATTTGGAATAAAACAATTCCCCTTTCCCTATATCATGAAGATTTCCTGCTATCTTTGGAATATCTAAATTCATACACTACATTTTTACTTATATACTTTTGAAATTTTTACCTATTTATTTTATTTTTACAACAATTAATATATTACAGAATGTTTTTGTATACAATGTTCACTGCTTTCTTGTCATTGACAGTACAAACATTTTTTTTCTAGAGTTTACTCTTGAAAGGGCGACATACAGTTGGCCATTTGAAAAACAGTCAAAGCTCAAATCT